TTTACCTTTTATCATAACTAAGGAAAACTATAACTATAACTATCTAGTCCTCAACTCCATCAAAGACCTGAGAAGGAAATAATATTACCTGGGTAAGCAGGAAGTGCAGGCAAGTGACTTCCAAAGAATGAAAACTGATAGAAACACTTGACAGCCTAGAGAGTCACCCAAAGTTTCCCTGTAACACTGGGGCATCCAACTTTGGCTCATAGGCCTAGTATATCTGACAGACTTTCCTGTGAAGTAGGGAATTTTGAAGGAGTGTCCTACCTTGTTCAGTAGTCGCCTTTCTTTATGTCCTGCTGGTCCAGTTTGGACAGTAACTGTCATCAATTGAGGCAAGGGCAGTTTCTTTGCCCACATGGCTGGTTTTTGCCATAAAGGAAACAAGCTCCATATGGAATTTCTTCCATGCCCGTCATCTTTTCTGGACTATATTGGTGCTGCCAGAAGCAGACATGTCTCGCTGTCATGAAAAATCTAAGTTATTAAAACATTTTAAATGCCATATTCTATAGGTATTTGAAGTGTTTGAAGATTACCTATATGAAATATATCTTTGTATACCTAGAAAACCTAACTAACATGACTATAAGTTTGACTATTATATATGACTATTAATCTGTATTTCTTAATTATACATTAAATTTTTAATTGAGCTGCATAAATATAATACCTTAAACAAGAGTGAAAATATACATACAGTATAACAAAATTAACTTTAAATCTTTATCAATAAATTAAAATCCATACCAATGTAAAATATGTAAGATTAACAGTTGTTTTTTAGAGTAAAGTAGATACAATAATCTACCTTTTTTTCCCCATTGCTTCTATATCATAATCCCCCTTTCTTCTTTTTTAAAGAGATTGACTATGACCAATAGCAATTTGTAACCAACTACCCTTAAATGAAAAAAAATATTTATAACCATTATTTTGGGAACGTGGGTGCAGTTTTATAAACTACTTCCTGCTGATTGGGGGTGCTGGTAATCTTTGAGAGACCCTGAGAAAATCAAGATAATTGTTAAGTCTTGACTGGAGTATTCTTTGAGGCTGGACCATCTCAGTCAGCAGTCTTGAAGCTGTTCTGGATGCTGGATCACCTGGGCCATCTGTTTTCATTGGTGTCTAGTACCCTTGTTCTGAAAATATATAAACTTTAAAAGGAAATATACATATCTATATTAACACAAATATAAACTATGTTATACACAAGCCATCCAAAGAAAATTTTTTGTTTTATGTTTGAGCAGGTAAAATATACGTTACATGTCTTGTAGTTACTTTAGGTTTATTTTCCATGTTTGTAGTCAGGATTTCAGGAGGTCTTCCTCAATCAGATCTGATTTTCCTTAACCTGGAATGAATCCATAGCCTCTTATTTCCTGTAGAAACAAAAACATAACCTCTCCCACAAAGTTACATACTGCTTGACTTAAATTTTGGAGTTAAGATATTTTTAAAATATATAGGTTAGTTTAATCTAGCAGCTTTTATAATCAAATGTCTCATAGCAGTGAAAAATTTTTAAAGAAACACAATAATAAATGTAATCCAGACTCTCTGTGTATTTTCCATTTTTCTGTGGCTTATTTCCTTTATATCACTCTACTCCCCATTTTAAGGACTTTATTTTATTATTTTAAATCTATATGTTTAATCTGTGACTGTTTTTACCCTTTCTTTTCTCTCTTCCAAGCCTATGCACATTTACAAACACACCGTGACCTGTTCAGAGACCTGTTTGTCTGAGTCTGTCCTCATTGTGTATCTCTAGTCCTTTTTGTCTGTATGAGAAAAAAACCTTAAATCTGCTGCACAGTGTGCTTATACTGTAGCTCATGTGAGGCTGTGGGAATCCACTATGCTGTACTCAAGAATGCTGGAAACAACCTAGGTGCCCATCAACCAAAGAATGGATAAAGGCAACGTGGTACATTTACACAATGGAGTATTGCTTAGCTGTTAAAAACAATGACATCATGAAATTTAAAGGCAGATGGATGGAACTAGAAAAAAAATCATCCTGAGTGAGGTAACTCAGACCCAGAAAGACAAACATGGTATGTTGCCCCGCCTGCAGGGCTTCAACGGGTTCTCGACCACCCTAAGGACGGAATGATAGGGACAGGAGATACAAGGAAATACACCAAGTCTAGATTCTGATCAAGGTGCAACTTTATTTTCCTTCAAGAGAGTTTATATAGTTCCTGCAGGGTGGGGGGAGCAAGAAGCTGTCATCTGCATAAGGTGGGGCAAGCTAACAGGATGTTTGTATAGGATGTTTACAGGGTGAAAGGGTCAAGGGCTCTGCCTCAATGTCCTGTTGCTAGGCAACCTGACTGTAAGATGATCTAGTTCCCTGTCTTATCGGGGGTCTGTATTTTTCCACTAACTAGAGATTCTATCGTTGTCCCTGACAGTATGTACTCACTCATAAGTGGATAGTAGCTGTAAAGGATAACCATGGTACAATCCACAGACCCAGAGGAAGTTAAGTAAGTAGGAGGGCTCAAGCGGGGAATGAATGGATCTCTCTGGGAAGGGGAAATAGACTAGATATCATGGGTGGAGAGGGGGTGAGGTGTCAGGGGTGCATACCACAATAGCAACAGGAGGGATCAGACTGGGGGAGAATGGAGGGTACTAGGAGAGACAACTCGAATTGGGGGGCATCTCAGGGAGAAGCTGGAAACCTAGTGCAATGAAAACTCCCAGGAATCTACAAGGGTGACTAGTGAAGACTCCTAGTAATGGGGGACATGGAGCCTGAACCAGCCATCCTCTGTAACCAGGAAAGACCTCCAGTGGAGGGACTGGGACACCAACACAGCCACAAAACCTTCAACCTACAATTGTCCTGCCTGCAAAATGTGCTGGGGTAATGGTGGAGCAGAAATTGTGGGAGTGGCCACCCAATGACTGGTCCAGCTTGAGACTCATACCATGAGAGGGAGCCCACTCCTGACACTGCCTGGAGGCCCAGGAACCAGAGGCTGGATAGCCCAGAGACCTAGGATAGACCCAAACATGACTGGCAAAAAAAAAAACCAAACAAACAAACAATAAAAAGCTCAATGAAATGATTCCTAATGATATTCTGTTATACTCATAGATTGGTGCCTACCACAGTTGTCTTCAGAGAAGCTTTACCCAGCAACTGATGGGAGGAGATGCAGAGACCCAGAGCCAAACTTTAGGTGGATCTCAGGGAATCCTACTAAAGAGAGGGAAGAAGTATTTTAGGAGCCAGAGATATCAAGGGAACCACAAGAAAACCCACAAAATCAACTAATCTTGGCTCACAGGAGCTCACAGAACTGAACTGACAACCGGGGAGCCCATGTGGTACTGATCTAGGCTCTCTGCATCTGTGTGACAGTTGTGTAGCTTAGTCTTCATGTCGGATCCTAATAGAGGGAGCGGGGGCTGCCTCTGACTCTTTTGCTGACTTTTGGAACCTTTTCCCTGCTGGTGGCCCTGCCAAGTCTTAGTACACGGGGAGGTACCTAGTCTTACTGCAACTTGATACACCATGTTGGGTTGATAGTCATGGAAAGCCTGCCCTTTTCTGAAGAGAAAGGGAAGAGGAATGGATGGGGGAGAGGTGGGGAAAGGGACTGGGAGGAGAGGAAGGAGGGGAAACTGTGGTCAGGAGGTAGTATATATATATATGTGTGTGTGTGTGTGTGTGTGTGTGTGTGTGTGTGTGTGTGTGTGTGTGTGTATGGAGAATAAATAAAATTATTTTTTAAAAAGAAAGAAATGGAATCTCTAATGCTAGTATCCACCTCCTGGGCTGTGATGATTAAAGAAATGCTTCAAAAATACTTAGCACAGCATCTATTAAGAATCCTAATTAACAGTGAGCAAAAGTTTCTAGTGTGCAAGATGATGGAATTCTCTATGATTTAGTCTGTCGCTACCCTCGACCTCATGTGAGGGAACTGTGGCTCAGAGATGCTGAATTGCCCAAGACCTGATGGCTTGTAGTGGTGGAGACAACTGAACATTCCTGACCACTTTGTTGATGCATTCCTCTAATTTGATTCTCTAAAATTGTGTGTGTAGGGGTGGGGGTTCAGGGGAAAGCTCTATGGAGTCAGTTTTCTCTCTCTGTCTTGAGCTGGGTCCCGGGATCAAGCTCAGGCTGCAGGCTTGCAGAGCAGGCTCTTCTGTCTGCTGAGCCATCTCACCAGTCCCTCCTCTTTGCTTCTCCCTCTCATGTAGCTTCTGGTGTAGCCAGGGTCTTAGCAACTATTTGTCTTACCTAATTAGAAATGCAGCTAGTTTCTGGTCGGTGGTGGTGCAAGTCTTTAATCCCAGAACTCAGGAGGCTGAGGCAGGCAATGGGTTCGAGGCCATCTTGGTCTACAGAGTGAGTTCCAGGATAGCCAGAGCTATACAAAGAAACCCTGTCCCCAAAACAAAAAAGAAAAACACAAAAAACAAAAACAAAAAGCAAACAAAAAAAAAAAAAAGAAGAAATGAAGCTGATTTGCAGGGTGTGGTGGCCTGTCACCCCACTACATGTGAGGCTGACGAAGGAGGATTGTTTGGGGTTGAGGCCAACCTGGGTTATACAGGTCCAGGACAGCTCAGGCTAAATTGCAAATACTCTGTCTCAAAACAAAACAAAAACAACAACAAAGTTGTTGACCTAGAGGTCAAGGAAAGCAGTGCTTTCTCAAAGTCAAAAAGACAAGTAGCCGGGCGGTGGTGGCGCACGCCTTTAATCCCAGCACTCGGGAGGCAGAGGCAGGCGGATCTCTGTGAGTTCGAGGCCAGCCTGGTCTCCAAAGCGAGTACCAGGAAAGGCGCAAAGCTACACAGAGAAACCCTGTCTCGAAAAACCAAAAAAAAAAAAAAAAAAAAAAGACAAGTAAATGGACTGTCCACCTGCCACGAGGAACAAAGCCCTGCCGACATCTTGATTTTAACTTACACCATGTTAGATCTCTAAAAACACATTTCTTTGTTTATTTACTTAATAGGATGTGTGTGGTACAGAGCACATCTACAGATCAGAGGACAAACTTGGGAAGTCCAGTTCTCTCCTACTACGTGGTTCTGAGGATCAAACTCAAGTTGTCAAACTTGGTAGCAATTACCTTTACTCACTGAGCCATCTTGCCTGCCCCATGTTATATGTGTGACAGGTAAAGTCATTGCAATCACAACTCTTGTGTGTGTGTGTGTGTGTGTGTGTGTGTGTGTGTGTGTGTGTGTGTGTGTGTTTTAAGTGATCAATTTGTAGTTACAAAAGTCATAGAAAACTACTATGCACACTATAACCAATATGGTAAGAATATAATTAGATGGGGTTTTTCTTCTGAAAACCGGATAAGCCATTTTAACTTCAATTTTTGCAAAATAAGCAAAGCATACTGTGACATAAAATATATCATGTAATTGTTTTAAAATTTAAAGAAGAATATAATTAGGAAAATCAAATAGACTATGGGGGTATCTTCTTTTCTCTCCCATCCTTGATATCTATATTCCAAGTACATGGAAGTCCATGTGTACGTGCTACTGCAGGATAAGGAGTGGGGAAGACATTAGGCATCACTGTCTTTAGCCATCCTTTATGCTAGCTAACAGATGTCACCCTCCCATGTCACTGAGATTGACAGGAGGAGGTGAATGGGGACTGCTACCCTTCATGCTATGACCATTCCTCAGCCTTTGCACCTAGGGAGGCTTCAGAGGAGACACACAGTAGGGTTGTTTTTCATAGGTAGCCTACATGGGTGTGCTGTCTTCTTGTGGTTCTCTGATTGCCTCTATCGTGGACACCAATCGTTACCAGGACTTGGCGCCTCCTTGTGCCCCTCCAGCTCTAGCCCTGTCTAGAAGAACGATTTTTCTCCACAGACTGACTCACCCCAAGCTGCGAGGTGAAGAAGCTGTACACTAATTTGCAGCACAGGCAATGTTCTGTCACCCACAGACTATACTTCCCTCATAGCAAGCCTGGTGCTTCACCAGCTTCCTGGGGTCACCGTGTGGCCAGGGCTTCCCACGTCTGTAAATATCAGACACTACTTCTTCTCCTCTTCCTCTTTCTTCTTCTTCTAGCTTTTAGCTATTTTATAACTCCAGTTGAGGGTTAGCAGAACAAGTAAAACAGAGAAGCCAGAACTGTAGTGAATTATCTTGCAGAGAACTTGGCTTCTGTTATCTAATGAGAGCTGAGGATTATGTTATTTTCATTATCTTTGCCACTTGACCATTAATTATTTGGTCACAAGAGTGCAGGCCTGAACCATCTGGGTTTATCCATTTGGAAACTTGTTTTCATTAAGGTAACTCAAGCTATACAACTGAGCCAGGAACATGTGGCAGCCTGGATACAGGGCATTGCAGAGTCAGTCTTCAGAGGAGCTACTGAGAGTTGCTGCAAATGTAGCTGAGACAATCTGGCTCCAAGTTTGCAGGATGGACAGTGTCTGGGGAGAACTGTCCTACATGAAGTGCCAAGATCACCGGGAAGCAGAGCCAGGCGGATCCCTGTGAGTTCGAGGCCAGCCTGGGCTACAGAGTGAGCTCCACGACAGGCACCAACCCTGTCTCGAAAAAACAAAAAACAAAAACAAAAACAAAGCAGTGCAGACGTCAGTCAGAGCTGCACACCCCTTGGATTTGGAAGAACGCTAGCACAGGAAGCACAGCATTCTGTAAAGTTAGGACCTCTCACCCATAGTCTGGACTCACATCTTTTTTTAATCAACACAATATTTTTTTATTGATTCTTTAGGAATTTTACATCATGCACCCCAATCTCACTCATTTCCCAGTCCTTCTATGTCTGCCCTCCACCCTTATAGCACACCCTCCACAACTTTGTTAGGGTTTCTATTGCTGAGAAGAGACACCATGACTATGGCAACTCTTACTTAAAAAAACAAAAAAACAAAACAAAAAAAAACCATTTAACTGGGGTGGCTTACAGTTCAGAGGTTTAGTCCATTCACATCATGGTGGGACACAATGGCACGAAGGTATACCAGTGCTGTAGGAGCAGCTGAGAATTCTGCATCTTTTATCCAAAGGCAATGGGAAGTGAACTGAGACACTGGGTGTGGCTTGAGGATATATGAGACCTCAAAGCCACAAGGACACCCTTCCTCCAACAAGGCCACATCTACTCTAACAAAGCCACACCTCCTAATAAGCTCCCTATGTGCTTACAGGGAGGGGGGCGGGGGGGGGGGGCGGGAGGCAATTACATTCAAAACAGAAACATTTGCTCCTCCATCTTTCCCACCTCTCCATCACATATTCACTTGTTGTAGTGCCCGTGGGAGCTACAGTGTGTCACACAGTAGACCCTCTAGTCCAAACAGCTTTACTTGCAAATGTTCATTGCAATGAGTTAGTGGTCTGGTTCAAGAGGCCTCTGGCCTCTGGCACACCATCATCACTGGACCCTCATTGAAACTTCTCTTGGTTATCCTGGTATTGCCTGGAGTCATGGGGATCCTGAGGCTATGGTTCTGCAGGACCAGTCCCTTCACATGCTCCAGCAGGTCATAGATGGGGTAGATGTTGGGGTGGACCAATCAAGGATGTAGGCCTGAGCAGTAGCTGAGTTGGTCAGTTTGATCCTCCACCGAGTCTGCCCTCCTCAGGTAAGGGTCAGGGCCAGCTCTCCAGTGAGCATGGTGGGGGTGGGGCCAGCTCTCCCATGCCCCCCTCCTGCTAGAAACACGGACCACGGAGGTCCTGCTATGGGGGACAAAGGGGTAGCACATACCAAGAGCTCAGCAGGAGCTGAGGATGGAGTCTATAAAATCTTTCTCAGTAGTGTTATTTGCTGTTGTTGCCTTCATTGTCACAGGCTAGAAAGTGGACCTGAACTAATTCTAAGCAAACTTACCCACAAGGGAGAGCCTCTGGGGCTGGGTATAGTGGGACATACCTGAGGTCGCAGGACTTGGAAGGATGTGTTTGTTAGGAGGATTGTGAGTTCAAGGCTAGCCTGAAGCTCATAGTGAGAACACATCTTCAAAAACAAACTAGTAAGAGTCACTGAGCTCCTCACAAGGTTATGTCATGCTCTGGTGGGCTCCAGTAGCAGAAGGCTCTGTCCTGGTCACTCCTTTTGAGTGTCAGCACTGCAGCAGGGTCCCTGGAGGCTCATTGCAATCAGCTGATTCCAGCAGTCAAGACAGGTCTCACAGCTCTGCGTGCCCACAAAGCTGGATTCAAGCATGCTGAGTCATACTGCAGGGTCTGATGGTAGAGCCCATCACCGCGGCAGGCAGCAGGACCTACAGCCATAAAGTGCAGAATATTTGCTGAAGGCCGGCCTCTTGGTGAATATTGCCTCAGTGTGTCGGGGTAAAGGGAAGGAGGGTGATGCTAATGTTTCCTAAGCACCAGCTGACAGTTTTGATTTTGTTGGACCCCACTCACAATTCTCAGAGGTGAATCTTTCCCTCACCCTGCTACCAACACCACAGCCCAATGAGTCTTTGAAATAGTTTTCTGGCTCTCAGAAAGGTGAGAGGCATCTATGAGAAAGCCTCTCTTGTGGTTCTGGTTAGGAGAATGCTCTTTCCCCACTGCACCCCAAAACATTGTAGGTGAAGTTATGGGATTGCTTGTTTCCTCCCAGGTTGAGTGAAGTGTCACAAAAGGGAGGGGTTCACAGAGTATGCCATAGATCTGTTCTCCATATGGGCGTAGGACCTGAGGATGCCATACCCCAAAGGCTTCATCAGCCATCTCTGGACAGTGCTGTAAGATCTTTGAAGAGTGAGTTAAAGTGAAGAAGTTCCTTATCATGGACATTTTAAAATTCCCTAATAACTTATTGGAAAAGAAGATTTTAGAAAACACAAAGTGAGTTTGGAAAGTCCCCAAGGTCAGCAGGCAAGTGGGTACAAAGAAAGAAGGTATGTGAACCTCAGGTCTGTCTACACTGATCCAGGTTGCTTTCTGCGTTTTATTTTTGGAGTGAATGGCTTTGGATCTATTTAAAGAATGTTAAACGAATTTCAAACGATCCAGATGGATGAATAGCCTGCTGAGATAAGTTGACATCCATCTACATTATTGATAAGGAGTCAGGAAATGCTGCTTGGGAACACTCGTTCTCATCAGAGAGACTTTTTTGAGCCTTTATTGACTGGTATTTCACAGGGTGTAACTGAAGGCTCTGTTTTGAACTTACTGTAACCCTGAGTGAATACCCACCATCGTAAGAACACAGGAAGTGAGAAGGGACACTGAAGTTACCTGGATAAGTCTCTTTTTTTGTGCAGAAACCATTGTTCTTTGTATTGATGGGATGTGTGGTGGTATTGTGTTCCCCAAAATATTGTGCACCCTAATAAACTTATCTGGGGTCAAAGAACAGAATAGCCACTAGATACAGAGGCTAGAAAATGGTGGCACTCACACCTTTAATCCTAGCATTCCAGAGGCAGAAATCCCTCTGGGTCTCTGTGAGTTCAAGGCCACATTGGTAACAGCCAGGCATGGTGACTCATGCCTTTAATCCCAAGAAGTGAGCCTTTAATCCCAGGGAGTGATGGCAGAAAGCAGAAAGGTATATAAGGCGTGAAGACCAGAAACTAGAAGCATTTGTCTTGTTAAGCTTTCAGGCTTTCGAGAAGCAGTTCAGCTGAGATTCACTCTGGATGAGGACTCAGAGGCTTCCAGTCTGAGGAAACAGGATCAGCTGAGGAATTGGCAAGGTGAGGTAGCTGTGGCTTGTTCTGCTTCTCTGATCTTCCAGCATTCACCCCAATAACTGGCCTCAGGTTTGGTTTTATTAATAAGACCTTCTAAGATTCCTGCTACAGAGATGTTTGAGATGGAGACCTCAGAAATTTTTTTCTTGTCCTACTGTTTTGTATCTTTCCTTTAACTGAGAGCAGTTAATCAACAATATCCCTCTATGAGCCCAAGACTTCCCACCTCCTCATTTCAGAGCTGTGGGGCTGTGTGGACTTTTGTGTGCTGCATGTGGAAGGTGGGAAGTGACTTTGTCACCTTTATCGTGGGCTGCTTTTTTTTCTGGGTGAGCCCCTACAGGGCTGACACAGTCATATGCTTTTGCTCCAAAGCACAGCTGCAAAATAACTATCCTGTCCAAGTGCTTCCTTTTCTAGATGTCTAAGTAGAGTGGTTGAGGAATAGCAAGTAAATAAATATTTTTAGTATTTTCATAGGACAGAAATTCCAGCAATGAACATTCTCATCAAAACTGAGTTATGCCTTTCCCACTGGAGACCCATCCAGCCCTGCTCTGAACTTGTCTGTTTCTCTCTAGAGTGTGAGGAGTGGGAGACATTTGCTTTTTCGAGCATGGTTCATGCCAGAGGTGGCCAGTGCAATAAAACTGTGCTTTGAGTCCCCTCGGTAGTTTGCTGTGGGTAGTGACGTTTCCTTAACTTCGCATCAGTTATTGCTGTGCTTGGCTGTGCAGGGCCTTTGTGCTCCGCAGGCCTCCGCTTGTTGAGGTGGCTTTCAGTGTGGCTAAGACTCTGGATAACTAGAGTATTTAAAAAGGAATTTAACATGCTTTTAATATATAGCTTTTAAATTTCTTTATGGTTTCAGGACCTTATAGTTTATCAATCTTTGAAGATGGTGGTTGGAATATTTGACAAGGGAGTTCATAGGTTTAGCACAGACTTACTTCCTCTAACTCAGAAATTTAACTTGGAGCAATCACCAGCTGAGCCGGTGGTCACTGGCTCTCTGTGGTCCATGGCCCTGAGAAAGCTCCCAGCTGACCTCTTTACCATAGGGCTTTCTTTGGGAACATGTGAGGTAAAGGGCTTGTCAGAGTCTGCAGACCGTTGACTTGTACTATTTCTTGGGGTTTTAGTCATTGGCACTGGTCTACTGCTTCTCTGTGGCACTTAGGGAGAGAATGAGAAGCAGAAGACAAGTGTGGCCTGGTGAATATTTCTAACTCCAGTTCCATCAGCTTTGATTGGCTCTTCCCTCTGCCTTTTCCACTGGAGTTGCTCCCAGAGGCTCAACCTCTCAAAATGCTGTTAAAAACTAAACTAAACTAAAAACTCTACTGTGGCTAGCAAGGGATGTCACATCTGACCAGTTGGTTCACAATATATTGTTTACCTTTGGTAGAACTCTAGGCATACCCTCCATGATGGAGTTCCTTCCACTCTGCCCCTCTCCTACCTGACAGGAGTCAGGCATCCAGGTTACTAAGGGCTCTCTAATTTAGGAGTTGAGGACTTCACTGAAATAGATCAGTTGAAAAATTGCCAATTTATACGTAATTGCCATTTTCAGTGCACATAATTCAAATTTTATTAAAGTACAGTTATGTCCATTTGTCTTTGTATAGTCTGTGGCTGCTTTTGCCCTACAACAACAGTTTTGAGTCATTTTGACAGACTGCACAACCCACAAAGCCAAAAACAGTTTTACATCTGGCCCCCCAGCAAAGGGCAAAGGTCTGCTGACTTCAAGCCTGAAGAACAGTGGGTGTGATATGCTCAGAGAAGCTCAGGTCTACGTGGTCACACTCAGCTGCTTTCACTCTGTATTGATGTTGGTCTTCCCCACCTTTCTGCCACATCTTCATCTGTCTCATAAAACTACACATATGATTTGGATTGGATATTAATGATTTTAAAATTCTGTCTTGTTAACTTTGTAAGTCAGAATAAGAGTAGAGGATGTTTTTATGACTTTAGAACTCAGATATCACCTCTAAAACTGGAATGTCAGTAGGAAACAAGGCTTCATTTGTGTTCATTTTTACTTTAGAGATATCGAGACATATGAGAAAAATTCCTACAGTGAGTGACTTGTGAAATTTGAATATGGGGGTGAAATATATAATCTTTTCAAACATTTATCTCTTATCAAATGAAAAAAATCCAGAGGCAGGTGGATCTCTGTGAGTTCAAGGCCAGCCTGGTCTAAAGATGAGTTCCAGGATAGCCAGCGCTACACAGTGAAACTCTGTCTCAAAAAAAATTACCTTAGCAATAAAAATTTGAATAGAAGTCTAATTAATTTGCATATAACTTATTCTTGTAACGTAAACCTGTAGTAAATTGTTAATGTGCTCCAGAACATTCTCAGCACTGGTTCATAAAATAAGACGGGACAGGAACTAAGTTCACTCTTTTCATTGTTACTGAGCCAGTGCTGCCGTACTTAGAACATTGCCTGGGACAGACAAGGTAGCAAATCTATTTTTTTAGAAGATTGTAATATTACACAAGTTGCCCAAGAAGCAACCATAAAAAATTCTTTAAAATTGTTATTACAATAAGTAATCTGTGTTCTGAACAAGTTATAACAGTAATGATTTTCCAAAAAAATTTTGAATCCACATTCAGACGAAGCTTAGAGGCTCTAGAAACCCATGGGAAAGTAGCCTATGACAGCTTCTCTCTGAAGATCACTTACTCTTATAGCCCCGTAGGCTGTCTGCTGTCACAGCTCTCCATACAGTCTAGCATGCATGACAATTATTTTACTAAAATACAGTCTTACTCTGCATAATGTTTAGAAATTTTTTCTGTAAAAAACAAGTTTGTCAATGCCCGAAGTCTACTTTGTTATTTTTAGTAACTGAACAGTACCCATTATGAATATACACTCATTTCTTCCTGTTACAAATATTTAGATTACAATTACATTTTAAAGTGCTTTAAATGCCAAGCAATCTTCCTGACAAATAGTTACATTGAATGATGTCAAAAGGGGAAAAGTAAAGAAAAAAGGCAAAGACGAAGCAAGCCAGTGTGTTCTGTTAAGGAACAAAGAAGCCTCCTTGCTTCTGGGAGTTTCTCGCCAGCAAACTGCAGACAACTTGGCATGGCTGATGCAATGACAGCACAATTATATGTCAGTGAGGCAAGAATGTGCAATTGCCAACAAATGCCTTTGTTACAGAGGCCCCGGCAGAGCCCCAGGTTTAGAGACGTGTCTTGGGGCTTTCTTGAGACCTGATGGATCACAGGAGCAAGCACCAACTGGGCTGCTAGCTTCCTCTCACTGCCATTACTCTGAGATACTCTGTGGCAGCCACTTGGACACCTTTTAAGTCCTCAAACTTGCAGAAAGAATTGGATGGCAAAGGCTCCAGATTTCGTAACATCAAAGATTTCCAGACAGGACTGGTGGTGGGGTTTGTGGGGTCAGGGACGTCTGCAGCCCTGCCTGTCTGATTAGAGAGGGAGCTGGATGGCTTGGAGCATGGGAGTCTTGAAGCTCTCTGTGTATAACCATGGAAGAAAAAACAGATGTGGCTTGGCAAAGACTCTAGCTCAATGCGAACCCTAACTTCTGGGTTGGTTCAGTCCCTGCCCAGTTCCTGCCAATTTACCCCTTTCCAGACAAGTATAAAAGGCAGGAAATATTCTGGTACTTGTGACATTCTAAATACTTTCAGTTTTTTAAAGCTTGGATCCCTTCACAGGAAATGCTCTAATATGGGTGTGTGTTGAGTCATTGTAGAGCAACATGTTATTAGGATAAATGCTGTAGATAGAACTCTAGAATAGCTTTATTAAAATAAACCACTGTGTCACTGGGTATGAATAAAATGCATTCTTTGCTGTGTGTCAGATGACCCACAGTATGAGCAAGCACAGTGACAAGGCTAGAAGAGGCTACAATGAGAACAGTGATAACTCTTACACAGAGCTAAGTGACAGCCTTGTTCTAAGTTCTTCATGTTACCTTATTTAAGCCTCACCAGAATCCTGCAGATTCAGCCACAAGTATTCACAGTTCACAGATAATGAAACTGTAGTACAGATAAGTCAATAAACGGACTTGGTGTCATGTACTTAATAGGTGGTAAAAGAAGTGCTTCAGACATGGACATCTATCCCAGGAGCCTCTGATGTTAGCCACAAATGAGAAACCCACAACTTCAAAGTCAATATCTGGCCAACACAGAAGCAGTGAGTACCTTCCACTCCAGGTCAAAGTTTGGAAATGACATCTTCCATCAAAAGGAGCCACACTACTCAATGAAGTGGCAATTAACGGTCTGAAGCAGCAAATGGAGAAAAGGAGCCAGGAGTGTCTATCAGGCATGGTGAGGAAGCTATCAGAGATGCTAGGGCCGTTTCAAAGGACTCCAGGACCACCTTACAGAGGCCAAAGATGTGATCATTTGACTATTAGTACAACGGTAGAATGGAACACATCAAATATGTTTAAATCTGTGAGCTCGTAGTGCTAAAAATAATAGTCATGTTCAGAGGATGATGGGTAAACAATTCATTACTCAGCTGGAAACTGGTGAGTAAATGCTACCATTTTTTGCTGCCTGCCTTGTGTGGACTGAGTCCCTAAGTAACTATTAGTACATGAGATAAGATAGAGTGGGAGTAGCTGGGCGGTGGTGGTGCATGCCTTTAGTCCCAGCACACAGGAGGCAGAGGCAGGTGGATCTCTGTGAGTTCAGGGCCAGCCTGGTCTACGAGATCCAGGACAGGCACCAAAACTACACGGAGAAACCTTGTCTCAAAAAAAAAAAAAAAAAAAAAAAAAAAGATAGAGTAGGCGTGTAGGCTAAGTATCTCTTGTCTGAAATACTCTGAGATGTTACATGAGTCAGGTGTGGAATTTTCCATTTGCATCATGTTGGTGTTCAGAAAGTTTAAGACTTTAAAGCATCCTGGATTTCTGATTAAGATGCTGAACCTGGATTGTCTTTCTACAGGCACTAAAGGACCAGTGTCTCTAGGCTTTGAGAAGAACTGATTGCTAACACAAGAACACCACAGATGACCAAGCAATCTGTGCCTCCTGATGGCCAAAAAAGAATGTACCCTCACTCATGAAGAATTGCCTAAAATAAGCAAATAACTTGAATAGCACAAAGCTTTTCATTCCAACTTCCAATGTCAGAAAATTTACAGGAACGAGGAACATCTCATACCATGCTGGTGGCATGCAAACAGCAGAGAACCAGAGAAATGCGGCAAGTGGCCTGATCTCTTCAGGAAAGAATTCCTAGCACGGGAGAAGATGTGCAGATCAAACAAGATCTTAAAGACATACTAACCAACTGCAGCATCGAGAACCAAACATGAAATTGTAAATAAAAATGGACTGCTTGAATATCAATTATGCATTTGACGATACTAAAGACTTGTTAACTTTTTGGGCCTCATAATGTGGTTATTTTAAAAATTACCTTTAAAAATGTAAGTGTGAGTGTGTGTGTGTGTGTGTGTGTGTGTGTGTGTGTGTGTGTGTGTGTGTACACTTGCAGAGGCCAGAGGTGTCAGATTCCTTGGAGCTCTAGCTACAAGTGGTTGTGAGCCACCTGACATGGGTGCTGGGAATCAAACTTGGGTCCTCTGCAAGAGCAGCGTATGTTCTTAAAATCTGAGCTGTATCTCCAGACAAAATGTTATTTTAAAAAGCTTTTCCTCTACTGATAAAATTATGTTTCCTAAGATTTGCTTTAGATAAGATGCTACATGATAGGAGGTAGGGATGGACTAGATTGATCGTGACTGACGTTGGATGACGGTGCACAGAGGTTGTCACTTCTTTTTCCCCACTGCTGTGCTAGGTTGATAATTGTCATGTACATTCTTAAATTAAATGCTGACATTTGTATTGTACAAAGTATACACTGATCCTAACCTACAAATTCATGGGTTAATTTGGTCCAAAATACTTAGAAAAAGATTGATTATACTATAATATTTTTTCTTTTCTTACTATTTTTGCATTTTTCAGCAGGGTCTTATTCTGTAGCACTGGATGGCCTGGAACTTGTTATATAGAATAGACTGGCTTCAAGCTTATAGCAATCTTTCTGCCTCTGCCTCTGCTTCCCAAGTATTGAGATCACAGACACTCGCCACCACATCCAGCCTATCGCCTTTTTATATCACCCACTGCATATAGTTATATTCTTTACAGGTATCCAGAGGCATGGAAAAGATAGCTTTGAGCAGCTATTACTAAAATAAACTATTACAATCTTGATTAAAAAATAGGAAGACAAAGCCAGAGTACTATGTCAAGAAATATCAGCAATAATTTGTAACGAGTCATTAGATATTGTTTGTATAGATTCACTTACACTAGTAAGTACAAATTGGTAAATTCTCCTTAAATATTCACCAGTGTCACAAACATCTACTGAATGCCTACTCTGTGCTAAATGTTAGGAGCCATAACAGGAGATGAGATTCAGGAAAAGATGAAAATGGGCTTTGGCTCCATGCTAAGATTAATATGTCTAGGATGGTGAGGCTGGGGGTTGTCCTTTGACAAGATATGTTGGGGAAAGAGATTAGAGGAAGGGCCTCTCACAAAAGTAAAGGACGAAGCATAAGGTGGGTGAGAGGCAGCACCTCATGCGCCTACTTGTCAGATTGGGCCCATGTTGCTGGGGACTCTCGTTTTCATGGTCAAACTTCCTGAGAAGGATTCAGAAATTCTGCTCTGGCTGCTACCTGTGTTCCAGAATGCACCCAGATGTTCCTCTGCATTATGGATTGTGTCTCAAATTGAGCATGTCAAAAACCGATCTCATTTTCTCTCCTCAAAACCTATTCCTTCTCTCACATTCCCAATGGCCACAGAAATGTCCAAGAGCCAAGTCCTCAAGGCCCTGCTGCTCTGGCCTTGGCTCAAGCCTCGTCAAGAGAGAGCAGCAGTGACATTCAGTCTGCTCCCCACCTCTAGCTTCTCGTTCCCTGTTTTCTCTCTTGCTGTCAGAGTACTGGGGCTCTAAAACTCCCCTCAGACATGTCCTCAGTGCTCATCACAAATGCCAAAGACCAGGCTTTCCTGTGAAATTCTGATTTCTTGAGTCTTGGGTGAGACCAGGGAATTTATGTTTTAAGAAGGACCCTGCGTTATTATCTTTGGGAAGTGCGAAAAGCACCGTTTTGAAATGCATCCCTGCTACATCCTTGCAGCGCCACCATGTAGCAGTGTGTTGTACAAGTCATAGAAAGGTGATGGCTGGTGAAAAGTATAGTTTACATTGCAAATCCAGGCACACATGCTTATATGTACATTAAAAGAAACACAATGTCCACAAAACATTTCTGAGCTGGGCGATGGTGGTGCACACCTTTAATCCTAGCACTCAGGAGGCAGAGGCAGGCAGATCTCTGAGTTCAAGGCCAGCCCGGTCTACAGATTGAGTTCCTGAACAGCCAGGATTACACAGAGAAGTCTTGTCTCGAAAAACTAAAATAAATAGATAGATAGATAGATAGATAGATAGATAGATAGATAGATAGATAGATAGATAGAAAAAAAAAAGACAACCCACAGGAGTTGGTTCTTTTACCACGTGTGTTCCAGGAATCAAACACTGGTCATCAAGCTTGGAGGCAGAGTGCTCTTACTTGCTGAGCCGTCTTGCCAGTCCAGAATATTTCATTCTGTATGTTTATATGGATATTTATTATTACAATATTGACCCAAATATATTATCTTCTGAAAGCTTCAGACTTTTTCATTCTGTAGTGACATACCTGCCTATATTTTGTTTACTTAGTATTTATCAAATATCTGTTATTAAATGTAGTTCCTGACAAATGTAGTGGCTCAGACCTATAATTCCAGCAACTGTGAGGCTGAGGCAAGAGAACTGTATACCCTTCCCACTGAAAAATGGCTTCTTCTGTCAAGATACTCGAATTCAACACCAACTATTATTAATCCTGTCTCCTTCCTGTGTAGTTGTGGGGTGGGATTGCTGAGATCTGTCATGAGAGCAAGAAAACGGTCACTGACCAGAGGTAACCCTGTGTTTCAACAAGTTAACACAGTCTGCTCCATCCCATCTGCTGTGACAGACTGACAGATTGAAAACAACAAGTTTACTTTAAAAAATAAATAGATAGATAGATAGATAGATAGATAGATAGATAGATAGATAGATAGATAGACAGACAACATTTCTGTTTCATTTTAGAACAATCAGAGTTGGAACTCACTGAATTGAGTTCAAGTCCCTCAGGCTGAGAACAACTGTTCTTAGGGTCAAAGTGCAAGCTTTCTTCCTGTTGTCACAGCATGGCTCTTAAACCTCTGTTGAAAATCTTCCATACTGGCTGGGGTGTAGTTCAATGGTATTTCCTAGCATGTGGAAGGTTCTAGGTTTAATTTTCATAAATGTAAATGAAACAAAACAACAAAATTCCATGAGCTGGAAAGATGTCTCAACAGTGAAGAGAACCTGAGTTCAGTCCCCAAACCCCACATCACATAGCTCACAGCTCCCTGTGACTGCAGATCCAGGAGACTCATCCCACTTCCATACTTCTCATGTGCATACACCCACACACAGATACACACACATAAACACAATTAAAAATAAAATCTTTTTAAATTCTCCATACAACTCGCTTGTAACTGTGCCTAATTCTTTGTGTGCTGTGTCCTCTGCTGCTCAGCAGCCTTTTATCTTTCCTCAAGTGTTTGCTCAGATAACACCTTCTGTCAGTTCCCTCCTAAGTGCTGAGGCCACAATGAGTGCCTTAATTTTAACTTCTCTGCAACTTGTGTACTTGAGCTAATGCTTCGTGCCTACCTCACAATCCTGCACTTATCACTCCAACTACATCATACTTGTTAAGAGCACAAAGGAAGCTCTTTCTTAGTCTTTGCATTCTTGTTCCTAGGAAGATAATGAAGGAAAAGCTTGGTAACCGCTGACTCATGGTTGGAATGAGTGAGGGATGTGAATGGGGAGTGCTACAACATGCTCAGAGTTAAGGGCAGGAGAAGACACTAGAAAATAGCTTATATTAAGATTGAGAAAAAGATCCAATAGCAATACAATAAAGCTCCGGCCTTCCCTTCCAACTAAGACAATGGTTCTGTTCCCAAATGGGGCTATTTGGCTAGATAGAGGATATGGTTATAGCTTTATTTTCAAAAGATAGCTTTCACTGTGTAGTGGGAATACTGAAGGGGGATACTGTGAATAGCAATGGAACTGAGGAAATGAGTCCTGGTGTGCTCATTCAGCATGCATATGGAGGTCAAAGGATAACTTCTGGAAGTCTATCTTCTTTTTCCACTGTGGGTTCCAGGGATCGAACTCATATTGTCAGGCTTGTGTGGCAAGTACTTTTATTTGCTGAGCCGTCTTGCATCACTTAAGAAAGAAAGAAAATCTAGAAACAATTTATGTTTCTATCAATAAAATTATTCATAGAAATTGTGGCTCACTTGACTATGATGATCTTAATAAATGGAGTTTTGATGGAAACCATTTAGTACAGGAAGTAGAAAGAGGGAAATTATCAGCATTTTAACTTCCTTGTGCTCTGGAAAATTTTCAAGCGATTGACACTTATCTTGGCAATCTTGTAATTTCCTTTTCCACTCTTCTCTCTCGTGTCTTGGCATCTCTCTCCATGGGGTCCTAAAATCCTAAAGCTAATTCAGTTATTATAGCATCCATGCTCACACACAGTTTGAATTCTTCCGTCCTAGACTTTTTGTCCATGGAGCCTCTGACAAGGCTCATGTTCGTTTCTGTTGACACCACCAAAGTCACTGTGGCTGCACGGGCTAAGAAGCACGTCTGAATGTCTGAAGCCAGTGGCTGCAGGGAGCATCCTTTTAGAGGTCAGATCACATTTGTTCTCTGTTCAGCAATAGCAAATTGCTGGCATTTTTAGTGGAAAGTGATCCCACTCCTATACTAGCAAGATCTGTAGTTAAAAATAAGAGAGCACATATGGAACACTTTAAAGTTGTTCATTAATTCTATGATGTGATGTGCGTGTGCTCGTGAGAGGACAGTCTTTCCACGGTGATTGACAGGTATCTAACTCGAGTCATCAGGCTTGGCAGCAAGCACCTCTACCCATTGAACCATCTTGACAACTCTGTTAATGTGCTATGGGTATTTTTTTTTTCTGTTTATTTTTTTCCCCAGACAGTGATAACTTGTTAGTATTTTGTATGTTGTCTATTAGAAGACTGTCCTAGCTCTGTTCATCCTGTCCTCACAGGCAAATGTTTATAATGTGGGTGAGGCACAATTGCTCTCACTTGAAAAACAGTGAAACTGAGACACAAGGAGTTAATTGTAGGGTAGTAATAGACCCAAGATGATGGCTCTGAATCCTGTCTTGCAGATCATAGGCAGGATCCCTCACCCCATGTAGCTAGTAAATTATTACTATAGCAGCCAGGCAGACTTTGAAATCATTCCAAAAACTCAGCCTGGGGTTTTGAAGCTCCATTTAAAAGAAATCAAAGCAGCTGTTTGTCCTTGAAAGGAGTGGAGAATTTTATATGCAAAGATTACTACCTCCAGACAGCAGTGTTTAACTAGGGATAATTTCACTTCCCAACCTGACATCTCAACTCTTGCTCCACGGGAATTTGGTAACATGTGGAACCAATTGTGGTTGTCAGGAAAGGTAGCAAATACTGCTGCCCTTTGCTAGGCAGTAGCCATGGGTCCTGATAAGGCTCTGACTCATGAAGGGCACAGAACTGATGTTAACTGATGTTAACTCAGTTGGGCATAGTGGTGCACTAAGTAGGTAGAAGCAGGTGAATCTCTGAGTTCAAAGTCAGCCTGGTCTACAAAGTGAATTTCAGGACAGCCAGGGCTACATAGAGATAACCTGTCTTGAAAACCAAACCAAACCAAACCAAAAGAGCCAGCCTCAGACTTCTGTCTGCCTTGAGTAATGGGGACTGACCTACTCCCCACTTGTCACATGCGTATTTCTGCCTGGGCCAGAGTCACAGTGAGAAAGCTAGGATCTGACTGTAGGTCTCCCAATTCAGTCATGTCTTTATACTACTATTTTAAAATAGGTTTAGAAACCATTAGAAATTAACTAGTTTGTGGATAGTGCAAATATAAGCGCATTTTTTTTTTTTTTTTTTGGTTTTTCGAGACAGGGTTTCTCTGTGTAGCTTTGCGCCTTTCCTGGGACTCACTTGGTAGTCCAGGCTGGCCTCGAACTCACAGAGATCCGCCTGGCTCTGCCTCCCGAGTGCTGGGATTAAAGGCGTGCGCCACCACCGCCCGGCTCATATAAGCGCATTTTAAGAGTTCATTAAATTATGTTTGGATAAAGGCGTTAAACTCAAATACACATCGCATCACATTGGGCTTGAGTTATGCAGTATATGGTGGACATATAGGTTATTTCAAATGCTGAATTAGTAATGGGTAAAGAAATTTTTAATAACTTTTATCTTAATTTCAACTATCAATATTCTCCCAAATATTATAAAATGATAATTTCATATGACCAACCTACTGCAGTGCTAAAATACAGAAAATAATAATGAAGCCTTATAAATTAGGTTAAAAATTAGAGTATTAAAAAGTATTATAAACTAAAAAAATAAGAGTCCCTGTATAAACCCCAACCCTACACTCTAGTACATCCTTCCAAAAACTGTCCAAGCACATACAACCATCTGTATTATATATGTATGTGTGCATCATGTGTGTATATATTTTACATAGTGAATCCCAGTTTCTTAAAATCTGGCCTGCTCCTCACATTAAATCATGTAACTGAATGTGGAAGTTGATAAAAATTTGGCAACTGTGAAAGGCTTCTGAAGGCACAACCAAAAATTAACCAAAGATAAAAGACATGATGGATCTGAGATGTCTCTGGCAGTAGTAACTGGGTTTGCTGCATCTCACAGCCTCACACACGACATGTGCACTTTGCTGTCATGGCATGCACCACCAATGAACTCTGCCTGAGAAGCAGCAGCTCAGCAGTGAGGCTTCTGTACTGGACTGCAGTACTCCCAGTGCTGACGAGAAGCCCTCTGTCCTCACAGAGTCAGACAGCTGAATTGTGGAAGTGAGAAACTCTTCGTATTCTCCTATTGCCATTCCTCAGCATGGAAGCATCCAATTCGTCTGTCTTTGAATTGTATTGTGTTAGAATGTTTGATTTTGAAAGCTGCTTCTTTGAGTTTCTTTTTAAAAAATTGTTCAATGAATTTTATCTTGAGATTAGGATGGAATTTCCAATTTCTGAATGGTTCTAAACAACATACTTCTGTGTATTCTTATGAAATGGCCTTCTCAGCCTTAATGACTATAAAATCAAAATATTGGTCAATGCTGACAGATGTTGAAGATGCTCTGTGTTCTGCAGTAGCAAATACTCAGCTAAAATTCAAGTCTTTATGTAAAAATAAACAAGTATGTTCACCTAGCTGGTATGTAGAATTTGATTTCATCTTTAATAAATGGTAAGATAATATGTATATGAAAGCATTAAAATAAATTTA